CTAGCGGAGTATGCCCCGGTATATAGTTCCCTGGCAAGTAGCGTTTGAGACGTGACAAGCTCAGCGCAGATCTGCCTGCTCCGACTCACCCGCACTCATAATGATAAGTTGCTGAATGTAAGGGAATGGTAACAGTGGTTTAATAGTGCACAATCGATGATGTTCTAGTTTCTGTCGCAGGAACAATGTCGGCGAGGACTTGGAGCTTCAAACTGTCGCTTTAGTTCCAGAACCGGCGCCGAAGAAGAGCCAGAGTGCAGGAAATTCTGCGACTGACAATTTGAGACTTGTATGAAATCAGGAGGAGGATGCCGACCCACCAGACGAGAATGCCCCACCAAGGGGAGGCTGGACTGATGCATAGAAGCGGACATGCACTTGGGCATCCCTTTGCCCCCTCGTATGTGCAGTCTCGCAGCTGTGCGACAAAGACAGCAAGCTGAAGCACCTGTCTGAGGCACCTATTTGGGCAACTTCACCGCCGGCCTCCGAGGGCGCTTGGCCAGTGCCGGCCCCGAGGCTTCAAGCTGATCCAAGCTGTCAGCTTCCTTGCCACACAATGTCGTCGCAGATTTGCCAGGAATTGCTTCGTAGATTGGTCCTCGTGGGTCTTCATGTTTCATGCTCATGGCTGTTTGGCAGCGTCAGTGGCGCATGTCACCGCCTATCATGGGACTAGCACTAGGAGTTTCAAGGCTGCGAGTGCAGCACAAACAGTTCACGTACTGTGTAGCTATCTGCATCTCACTGTAACTTTTCACCACCACGGACAGGCGCCAGCGGACGGCACCTTCACCTACGTCAACGGAGATGCAACCGGAGCAGGATTCAGCATGTTTTCGTCCGGGAACTGGTTAGGCTGGTGCTGCTGGTGAACCTGCGCAACCCTCCTGGAGACTGACTGTTGCAAGCTCCCCTCGGAGAGGGCGGAGTGGGCGACAGATGGATCGAGCGAAGACGTTTCTTGAAAGCTCGTATCGCGAAAGAAGCATCAAGGGGCCGAGCCGAGGCATACGCGGGTCAGTGGAGAGAGGGCAAGAAGCATGGCAACGGCACGTACACGCCCGCTCCCAAGATTCGAAATAGAGATTTCGCACGCAACACACCGGCATCTCACGGTGCCTTGATATCCGCTTCGGGTTGTCATCCGCCTTGCTGTCCGTCGATCAGGTTTGCCAAGGATGGAACTCAGCTAGTTGGAGAGTGGGAAGATGGCAAGATCGTCAGCGGCAAGTTGCTCGGCTCAGTGCTGTCACGTTGCAGCGCAGATCCATTAGTGGCACGGCATGAATTGCGCCTTCGTTCCCTTTGTTCGTCACATCGCCTCGCCGAATAGCCCGAATCCTGACCTTGCCCTGCGATGCTTCTTGCCATAGAAGGTTGACCTAGCACTTGCCCTTCCAAATGCGCTGGTCAACCGCAGAGCCAGCCATGAGAGGTGGGTGTTTCCCAACGGCACATTCTACTGCGGCAAGTTCAGGCTGGCGAGTATCATTTTCAGGATTTGCCAGCTTGAATCTGTCACTGTCCTGAGGTACAACAAGCCCTACGGTAAAGGAGTATGGGTCTTCAAGAACGGAAACCAGCTTGCTGGCGATTACCTGCAGAAGGCCTGCGGTTTGCACAGAGCAGGCGCCACTCCACCAAATCGTTTAGTAGCTTTAGGAAGATGCTTGTATGGACGCAAACACATATGGGACAATATGACCGTTCCGCAGTTCTGGCAGTTTCCAGACGCAGCCTCTGTGATGGTTTGCTCCGCTTAAAACTCACAATACACGCCTACATAACCAAAATACACATGTGCGCACACACACACACGCACATATACATTGACATACATCCACATATCGACGAACAAGTGAACCTGTCCGTCTGCATTAAAGCATACATTCGCACGTGTGTGTGTGTGTGTAGACACAGATGCACGCAGTGCATAGACATGTATGTGCATGCATATCAATGTGCATTGTGTATTGGTACAAGGATGTATCGGTATATGTCTGATGTATTCATGCGTCCATCCACTTGCGTGGTTCATTTGGCCTCGTCAGGAGCAGGCTACCGAAGAGGAACCAGCAGACGAGACGGAGGCACAGTCGTCTGTTGCATACGATCCGACATCTATATCTCTTTTGACATTTGGTGTGAAGTCTAGACTGTATGTACTAGTATGACATAACGTGCTTTTTGTTGGGTTACTGTATCAGGACTATTGGTCCCATTACTACCGATACCAGGCCTCATTCCATATCCTGTTCTGTGTGGCAAGTCCGGAAGTGCAGCTTCGATACTCTCACTATTTCGTGTGGGCTTGCAGAGTTTCCAGAATCGGTCGTTTACCGGAGTGGGGAAAGTAGTATGATGGCTTGTATGCCCTGGGTTATTGAGACTCGCGGAGACCTGTGCGTACCCATGTAGAAGCATAAGCGTGTTCACTGCTACTTGGCCGATGCATGCTGGCAATGCTTCTGTCAATGTGCATAAATCGCTCATCACAGAAGTTCCGAGCGTGATACCTCAGCGCGAGAGAGAGAGAGAGAGAGAGAGAGAGAGAGAGAGAGAACGAGATAATGGTTTTACCGTGTTCACTTTCATGGAATGCTCCGTGTTTTCGAATCCGAGTGGCCTTGGTGTTGCTAGTCTTTACTCTCACAACTCGCCCCGCAACATACGGGGGCGCACTTGCGCGCGGGCATGAGGGGGTCCCCCTCCCTTGCCCGTTACCCTGGCGAAAGAAAGAGAAAGAAATATAGCAGAGCAAACACATTCAACGTCTGCCAGGGGGCACCAAAGCCTGATCCGAAGGCACGGTCGGCAACGCAACTTGCAGCCGTGACTTATGTCTGCGACAGATCGCGAGTGGATGCAGGTGTGGTGCCAGTTCAAGCCGAGCAAAAGTGTTGCGGTCAGAGGAGGGTCAATGCCGGGCGCTGACAATCGTATCTCGTAGGCACAATGTGACTATGCTGGATCGTCAGCATGCCTGCAATCAAGGTTTTATCCAAAGACGGGTGCATAAACCTGCACTCCTCTGCGACAATGGCGAGGAGCGGCCTGGAGTTTGCAACTTACGGTCTTTGAGTCTTTGCGATCAGTTTTAACACGTTTCCTGCAGGGAAATGCCTGAGCCGAGAGTGTCACTTTTCGTTTCACACTGCCTGAAGACTCAGGATACTCAACATGAGTTCTGCAACAAGCCCAACTCCCATAAATGGTAGTGGTTTTCGTTTGAAATATTTCTTGCAGGCACGGGCCTCCTACATGACGATAAGAATTACTTTGCAGGAAAGAGGGCGCAAGCCAGGGATCCAATTCATGCAGAGTTTCACGGCGTGCTGGACTCAACGCTCATTCGAGGGTAAATTTAGATGACAAGCTCTAGAATTGAACATTTCCCACAATTATGGTAGATACTGGGACCCCGAAGTGATTGACATGATTAAGATAGGTGAGACAGCTTGAATATTCTGTATTCATACTTAGCGCCCACGAGAATTGCGATATTGCATCTTCGATCATAGTCTATTTGAGGATATATATATATATAATATCTATATTTTGAAGAAGCATTTGAATGAAATATATTGTGTTTCATTTATGTCCGTTGAACTATTCTGATATCATTGTCAATATAGATCATTTTTGATTTCGGTATGAAATTCGAAGTTTAAGGAAAAGGAAAAATCATTTTTTCTGTATGAAAAAATATGTAAAGTACATTCTAGATATGAGTAAATTCAATTTTATTATCGAAATATATAATATGATGATGAATAATTGTTAATAATGGTCGTTAAGATTGATATAGAGAATAAAAGATAAATAGAAAATGGAGTAGAGGTAATAAGGAGGGAAGACTGAAATTAAATAAATTGAATTTAGTTTATAAAGATATTTATTTATTGGAGGCTTGGAATTTTCTTATTCTGAATCTTTTATGAATTATTTCTAGGGCATGAAGAAGAAATAGGTTATAAGAAGATATTATTCGAATTTGATTTATATAATAAAAAATAAAAGTAAGATAATAATTAAGATTATAATTAACACTATATATATATATTTTTTTTGTTTAGAATTAGATTAAAAAATATTTAAAGAAATAGATATTGATTTAATAAATATACATATTCGTTTTTTTTAATTTTTTTGATTTGAATTATGAATATTCTTTCTCTTCTGATTGTTTTATTCTATTATTTTTAGATATATTATAAATACATGTATTATGAAATCTATTGAACGAATATTATTTGTTAAGAATATTTGGAGGATATATATGCTTAATAAAGCAATGTCTATTACCTCCGACAATAGCTTTATAAAGACTATTAAAAGAGGCTCAAATAACGTTGTAAATATTATTGAAAGAAGCTCAGATAACGCTTAAGAATCGAGATTATTATATTCTCTATTAATAATAAGATACCTCGGACAAAAAAACCAAGACCGGCACTTAGATATTTTATTCATTCGACTAGGCTTTTAATTTCTTGGCCCAGATACTAGCTGTATCCGAGTCTTCTCCTCGCGCGAAGAAATCGAAGCTCCGGAGCTAATATAACCTTTCTACCGAGCCCCAATTAAATTCGAATCTTATTTAGAAATATTAAGAAAATCAAATTATTATCAAAATAGCCGACTCTCCGGCAATCTTTAATTTCTAACGTGTCCACTTTCCAAGCTTCGCAATAGATGTTCAAAGCATTTACTAATTATCACACCATATCGGAACAATTATCCAAATCGATCGCGGATAGCTAAAAAGATACAGAATTCTAATCGAAGAAAAATATAATAATAAAACTAGATCTTGTTTAGTAGAGAAATTTCTCCTCCAAATTAATACGGCCCCCCTCTAAAATTAGAAAATATTCTTTTTCGTATAAAGTCAGATTCTATTCCATTATATTTTCTTCTGTTATTCGACTATATTATATTAGATCATATATATTAGTTATACTAGTTGTATATATATTATATTATATTAACAAATATTATAGTATATTATATGATATTCTATTAAGTAAAAAACAGTATTTTAAATAAAACCGAGCCCCAGAAATCAAAAACCTAAAAATTAAAAGGCTAACAAACCAGGGCAAGGAAATGGAGAAGCCAGAAGCGATGCCACAAAAGAGTAATAAATAAATCTTTGTTCTTTCAGATGGAAAAGCCCAGTCTTTTCCGAACATATTTTGTTGCCCAGCTGAACTCGAAGCTCTGGCGTCTACTTCGAGCTCGAAGCCAGGAAGCAGCCTCCGTGCCCAAAGCTGGCAACTCACCAATGCCCCAGGACTGCAACAAATGGCTTAGGTAGCCTTGCCCTGACCCGCACTGTCGCACGGGCTGCAGCCTCGCAGAGAGCGGGCATTTTCTCCTTGAGGCGCTACTTAGCGGCTACTTTACCTTTTTGTCTTTGACTGCCGGCCTCGGCCAGCACCACGCCAAACCGCTCGTGCCTCCCGACATGGAGACGAGTTCGCTTCATAAATCTGCTAACAGCATCTAGACTCTAGACTGAAACATGGACCACAACAGCGGCTTGCAAGAACGTGTCTCAACACCTGAGCAAGCTCATCGCTTCGCCGCTCGTCAGAGCATCGTACCAGTTGATGTCTGTTGCCGCCAACACCTGCACACCAGTGGCTCGTACTGCTTGAGCCAGGTCATGACATTGGGTCACCGCATATTTTGAGACTGATCCTAGCCCGGGTGGATCATGGCTCTTGTGGCCAATTCCAGGAGTTCTCTGCGCCAGACACTTCTCAAAGGGTGTCGCACATGAGATCTTGTGTCTCGTGCAGGCCTTCGAGCTCCAGGACTCCAGGATGCTGGGAACAACGGTCCGGCTGCGAAGCAGAGAGACACAACTAACGCAACCAATCTTGCCCGGATTGCGGGGCTTGGCCGTTATCTCGGTGCTGAAGTGGCGCTCTCAAAGATGCCAATTTACCTCACCAGCTCGCACATTGCACCCGAGGATGCAGGAACCCTCAATTCTTAGCCCCACTGCGCTGCGACCCAAGCTTCTGTCAATCCGATCCCTTTCGCGCAACCGCTCCGAGAGCAGCCAGCCTGCAAAGGATAAGACTGGGCCTGAAACCCTGACACTAAAGCAGCAACGCAAAAGTGAATACATACCACAATCGAAAAGAACATAAGCTTGAAAACACTGGAAGTATGTATGTATGTATGTATGTATGTATGTATGTATGTATGTATGTATAGTCTATTTATTTTTTACATGTCCTGTGATTGCCTGCCTACTTTGTGAACTGAGACTCGTGTGCCCCATCTGCTGCTATGTTAACTAGTTGATGAGTCATTAGTACTAGTCTTTGCAGCAAGCTTCAAAGCACAGACTTACATACACACAAAGTGCAGCCGAATGTTGCGCAACTGCGCAGCTCTGTCATCATGTCAACTGTAGTTGCAAACCCATTTAACACTCCATAATACACTTCCTTGCAACAGGCTTTAAGCACCCGGAGGCCCGGGCTCGGGCCTAGGAGGAGCTCCAGCTCCTGCAGCCCACATAATGACATCTGTCGGACGTACGGCGGGCCATGCAAGTGCGGCCCTGAAGAGAGAGAGAGAGAGAGAGAGATCTCGTGTGTTGGGATCGAACCGGGCAACAAAAGTGCGATATGCGCTTTCGGCACCTAACTGCCGACAAGCTAGCAGTCAGTAACGTAAAGCACGGATGAAGGGTAGCGAGCAGTTCAACGACTCAACGACTTACGCAGATGAAGTCAATGCCGGAGATGAAGTCCTTGGCAACCTCGAGAGCGCGCCGGCCAGGTACAGGCGCCTGCAGCCAACCCGACAAAACAGGCCTGCTGGCCTCCAAGGCAGTTCCTTCCCCCACAAGGCCTGCGAGACGTCAGAAGGCCTGGCACGTGGACCCAAGGTCTAAATGTGTTTTGAGTCGCTGTTGCCAAGAGGAACACTGTCAACTCAACTACTCGACTGGCATGCTGCAAAGCAAGCTAAGCATGCACATCGAAGACTTCAAGCAATAGCGGCATGCCATGCTGACAATGAACCATGACAGCAGAATGCATCTCCCGAGGCATTATTCGACATTTCGTGCAGTGTAGGCCTTCGTGGCGAAAACACGAGATATTGTAATTTGGTATGTTTAAAGCAGTGCACAAACCCGGCATTGCTGGAAACTGCAGTGTTAGTGTGGCGACAATGAAATGTAACAAATTGAATCGAATGTGGACAGAAAGCAATGGCTTCTGCAGTTTCTGCCCGAGGAAGGCAGTGCTGCTGCTGTCCCGTTAGCCTTGCTCCTGTGGTTTGCACAGTCCCAGTCTTGTTGATGTCTGCTTTCGCTCGTCATTGAATTCCTACCTGCCTGTCTTTCCTCATGCTGCCTGTCTGCCTGCCCTTCCCCCTTCCTCCTTTCTCCGGTGTCCTGCCTGTCTTGTTTGCTTGTTAGCGTATTCTTTCCGACTTTGCCGCGGTCTTTGTGCTGCGATTAAGCTGTACTTGCCTCCGGCTGTGGATTGCTTTTGCTTGAGATCTCATCGCCAATGAAATTAGAGCGCGGCTTCATCTCGATTCTCGAGTGCTTTAGATGCGCATCCTGGGTGTAAAATCGTTGTTGGCCTTGAGGCAAAGCATGGGAATCCTGCACTTGCTGGTGAAGCACTGCACGCCTCGGAACAGCATTTACTTGGGCCACGATTTCGTCGCTGAAGTCCAGGCACCTCTTCAACAAGCACAGATCTGTGCAAGCGCCATCTGGCAAAGACATCTCAATCTCTGCCTGGCCACAGGATCAGGGGCTTCTCCCGCATCCCTTAGCGAAGTCAGGTCTGATCAAGACGTGCCCAAGCACTCCCAGTTGGACCGTGATGGTCCAATCATGGCTGCCCGGACAGGCCGATGACAACTTGCAGTCGATGCAGCTTCAGAAATCTATGTCACGCCAACTCTGTTTCGATGAGTTGTGCGATCCTTTACCAGTCGAAATGACACAAGCACTCTCACAGCGGCTGTACTATCGCGAATCCTCCGTCTTGGTCTGAGTTTAGTCTTGCACGCGGGACGACATCTAAGCCTGCGCATTCGACCATGCCTCCCCCTGTGCCCCGTCTGAGCCGATGTCCCCTTAGTACTTCGTGAGGGATCGAGGAAAGAGCTTCTTGGCCTGTCTTGAGTGTCCAGCGTTCCAATTCCAACCCAAGCCGCCCGGATTGGGGAACGGGCCCAGGTTCGTGCGGCACACCCCTCCCTCAATATCCAGGCTCGGTTTAAGAGGCCCAGAGTGTTGAACTCTTGGAGCCCCCAGGGGCAAAGGCAAGATGAACCGTTTCCGCGGGAAGGGGAGCAGCGCAGGTCGACACTCACTCACCCACTCACTCACTCCTGGCCATCTGATATGTGGCGCTGCTTCTGCGTTAAAGCTAAACTTTCGCCTGCGAGGAGTGGAAGTGTAGAGCACTTAGCATAGCACCTTCACGTCATTCAAACCTCATAGTCCTGGTGATCACCTTCGATGCGTTACAGCTCATGTTCCGATGTGCGGCAAAATGACTGGGGCCGAAAACGGACGTTATCGGGCTGATTAGTGAAAGGTCGGCATCTGTGTAGCGTCCGGGGGGCAGAAAACATTCCTCTAATCACAGCATCGCCCAGCACGAGAGATGAACACACAAGCACATAAAGTGCACTGCTTGAACCACGTAGTTACGCAGGTTTGGATGTACACAAGCCCATCCGAAAACTCACAGGCAGCCAGAATTTGGTTGATAGAAAGTGAAAGGCGAGTTCCACGCAGGCAATGCGCTTCGTGTTGCGAGGCGGTTTGCTTCAGCTCACTAATGCCTCCTTCTATTTTCTGCAGAACAAACGAAGCCAAAGCTTCCCACTGCCAGGGATTTTTATGTGTGCGGCAGAAGCGCCAGAGCATGCCGAGAACGTTATGGAAGCCGCTCGCGGCGAAACGATAGGCCAAAGCATGCTTCACAGAAAAGGCCCGACAATTGTGAACCCTTGCTGTGGTTGATTGCGCAACCTCAGCCACCTTTCTGCTTCTCACTCCGTACTCCGGCAGCACATAACAGCATCAAGCAAACGCTCAGCATGCCAAACATTGCCACGTGAACCCAAGCGATTTCGACCAGGGCTGCATGCACGATGCTGTCGGAATCTCGCTGTGAAGCCATCGTCTCGCGAAGCTTGAGAACCTGGCTCCCAGCGAACAGCGATCCCAGCAGCAACACCAGAGCCGCAATGTTTTGCCAACATCGGTCACGAACGCTGACATAGATTGTTGACATTAATGCCAGAAGCATGGGAAGCTGCAAGATCAGAAGCCGATCTGGAAACTTTGGATGCTCATCTCGTCCCATGTAGAACGGCCTGCTACTCGAGAATTTGCCGCGTAAGCTCTCCACGTCGAAGCAGAGGTCAATCAACACATATCCTTGGAAAACTCCGATTGCGGCCGCTCGAAATATTTCTGCGACGCCGACGCGGACATGAGGTGTCATGCCGGACAGTCTCAGACGTGATTTGATAATCTTATGACCTGCACTGCATCTCAACAGCAATATCAGCACATCTGCTCTGCTCATGGTTGTCAGCTCGAGGGAAATCCTACATGATGAGTCAAGTAATGTCTCATGCCTGCTGACTTCTGCTTGAGCCATGTCCGCATCAGACATCCCACTCAAAAGGAGAAACGAAACAGGGGCATGACACGCATCGACCCGACAACTGTGCCCACGGCGCAGTGCCATGCTCCTCAACCTGACAAGCCCGAGACCGTCGTTTCTCAAAAATCCGACTTCCAGCAATTACCAGAATCTACAATGATCTCAGAAGTAATCAAACCGCAAGCTACTTCAGAGAAACTCGGGCAACCTAGACTACAGTATGGAAAGCACAAGTCCAAGCCCAAGTGTAAGCAGAGGGTGGCCGAGAAACAAAGCCACAGCTTGATGTAGCAATGCCAGAGGTGAAGACCTGGTGCTGGACCGTCTCCCGCGCAGCTTCTGCCTCCAGACTTTCTCTTCGAATTACATGGTGACGCCTGCCTTGTACCAAGATGCCGTCCTCAAATATCGGTGAGGGCCAAGAGTTATCCTTGTTGGCCTCGCCGGCGCCTCACAGTCAACAGCAGCCGTCCCTTCACTCCGGCCTGAAAGCATCTAAGTCTAAGACCCATATGCAGCAGCGATGAAACACGACTCCGGCATTCTGCATTTTTCATATGATTTCACATAATTGCAGGACGAGCTGCTCGGGACGCAGAGCCTGCAAACAGCGAGAGGACGCAGCATGCTGCGTTACACACTCTCTTCTCTTTTCTTGGTGCACCTTCGTCAAGACGTCTGGCAACATGAGAATATGTGAGAACAGTCCGCATTCACCGCTAGTCACTCGTCAAGGATCTGTTCCGTTGCTTTCCCTGGCGCCTGCCCCATGTCAGCTGGTCGACCTGCACAGCAAAGGTCACCATGGGTTCTTAGCAGACTTAGCAAGTTCAGTCCAACCGCCACCATGTGTGGCTGTCATCCCGCACACCACCTCTCCGGTGTGTGGTGAAGACCAGGGTGGCTCCCATTGAATGCCCTGGCAGTGCAACACGGCATGATGCGACTTGAGTTCGCAGAGGCACATCAGCCCAGCACGACATGTTGATCCGCCTGTGTCAGGGCTCTTGTAGGCGACTGCCAAGCAATGCTCATGGCAAGAATGCTGCCGTCGCAGACCGTTGCAATCGCATGTGCAGCTTTGTTTTGTAACGAGACTGCAAAGAGCCCAACCTCTTGGCACCACATGCCGCATGCCCGTGCTCGGGTGCTTCAGATGCTCATGCTGCATGAGTTACTCAATCTTGGTCCGAGATCTAGCAGCAAAAGCCGTCAAGAAGGAAGGAGAATCCTCTGCTTTCTGCGTTGAGCTCGGCCCGGGGATGTGCCTTTGGTTGGATCCAGAGCCTGGCTGCGTCAGACCGACAGGACCGTGGCATCGAACTCCGACTGGAAAGGCTGCAAGCAAGAAGCTAAATGCGGCAGGAGTGCAAGACACCATGTGCAGGTCGCTGGACGGAAAGCTCAATGCTTTGCCAATCCTGTGGCGGCAACGGACGTCGACGCAACTTCGGATCTCGTGACCGATCCTTCGGGCCTCGAGTCGGCTCTCCCAATGGCAGGGCAGCTGAAGCACCTCCAGCTCCAAGCATGGTGGCCATATTGGAGACATCTATATCCTGGTGGGCCTTCTGACAGAAGCAAGAGCTTGTTCTTGGCTGTGTCTGCCACTTACCGCAGAAACCTGTGTTTCGATTCGGTTCTTTCCAAGCACCTTCGGGGCCTTCGGCGAGCAGCTTCTTGGCTGTACGTGTGTCTGATGGTCTGATGTGCTATCGGCTCCCCACGCGTTCCTGTGAAGATGCCGATGCTTTGCGCATGTTGTCGGCATGCAGTGCTACCACTTTCCGCCTTCTGGCCATGCCTTGCGGGATAGGCCTTGCCAACGTTTGGCACTGCTTCGATCGACCATGTCGAAGTTCAAAAGCGCTATAGCGAGGTATTTTCGTCCTTTCTAAACAAAGCTTAATACCGGATACCACAGGAAGGTCAGGTTCGCAGCTTCCGTCAGCAACACGGGGCGCAGACAACAGAGGAGGTCGCACTTCCATGGGTGGACTTCAGAGGCTGAGCCCCGGCCTCCGCGCTGCGCGACACGATCCGAAGCATGTTTGCGCTCACCAGCGGAAAGACATCGGCGCTAAAGCCAGACTTTGGCTGACCTCACAAGCACGAAGAAAGCCTGCACTAAGTGGTGACTTAGCGCATCCTCGAATATCCCCAATCCTGGCCTGCGTGCAGCGCGTTTAGAGCTCGTAGATCTATACCTGGGCTTGTCACGCATGCCCAAGCAGCAGTCACTGTCCACAAAGCAACACTGCCCCGCGACATCCAACTGCTGACTGGCGGCCCTGCCAGGGATCAAGATCGTTCGGCACAGGAAGAAGTCGTCTTGGCCACAGTGCTCTACAAATCGAGACGCGTCTCAGTGCTGCAGAACCAAACTAGCCACTATCGGGACTGACATTGTTGACACGGTTCAAGCTTTGATTCGATTGCGGGTGAAAAATGCAACTCAGTCTAACTCAGTCTTCCACCTCGCCAGCCACTCGGACTCGAAGGCAGCAGCGTGGAGTGTCCACGAGCATGGCGGTGCATGGACCTGCGCCATGCAGCCTTTAGCTGCCGCACTTACATCTTGTTGACACTTGTTGCCTGGTGAGAAGCCGGCCTTCAATCCGGCGGTCTGCAGTGCATGGAGGCTCTGAGCGAAGATCGCATAGTGGCTGGCACAGGGAAACTGCGGCTTGCCCATAAAGGCCTGTATAGGCACGAGCCGGCAGGACTGGAACCTCCAGTCCTGGCGTGAGCTTGCCAGAGATGCTTCTAAGTCTCAAGGTATAGTATCGAGCTGGATTGGGAGGCTACACTCCCTTGCCAGACTCTCTTGACCCTTACGATCTCTGCCTGAGATCTTGAAAAACACTCGGTCGTGACAGCTAGCCGCTAGCCAAGGTTTGGATGTTGGCTTGGCAGCGACGAGGGTCACACCAAGCTTGTGAAGGTGTGCGTGTCAGTAGTACGGGAAGCTGCTACCCTGAGCGATTGAGGAAATGCAGCTCAGGAAAGCAGCGCGGGAACGATTCATGGAGGGCATAGTCGATTAGAGGACTACTGTCAGCCTTCCATGTTACAGTTACAGAGTCTGTGTGCGCGCTGGCCTCTGCAGCAGCTTCGTACCAAAAGTCGGAAAACGCAGCCCAGTTAACGTCAAACGCCTGAAGGTTGGCAGGCGGAAGACCAGAGCTGTTTGGCACAACGTAAGGCCTCCAAGCTCTCTGCCAGGGCTGCCCATTGAAAGTCCTGGCGGGTGCTAGGCAGCGTTAGTTTCATGCAACCTCAACATCTTCCGGTTCACCGATCGGGAGCAAGTGCAAGATCTGAAGCTCAACCCTCCAAGACATTCTTGCCTCCAGGTCTTCTAGGCTGTCTGCCTGGTCATCTTACGGTTGTTGAATTTACCAGGATCCACGATACAGATTTCTTGGGCTGGGAGCACCTGTGACAAGAACCTTGTTGGGGTTTGCTGCTCAACTGGCACCGGCAGCTTCACGAGTGCATGCTAGCGCAAAAGTCCGTTGTTTTGCAGCTCGCAACACCCAGATTCTCGGATCATCCGTTTGTCTCGAGACGTCATATTTGACACGCTTTTCTGCACTGACTTTAACATGAAGTCAAGCAAAACTGCACCTGGACGGGCCAAGCCATGATGAGACGAACCGCGGCGCTTGCCCAGGAGTTTCGCTCTTACAACAACCATGTTCGTACTCACTCGACCGATGTTGTGCTTCTCACGGCTGCTGTAGCATGATGCAGCTCGCTGATACTGCAACCTGTAGCGCCTGCGGTGCAGCTTTGCACAGCCAGGCCAGGCACAATGTGCTCACAGCTACACGGTGGCCGTGCCTGACACCGCACTAGGATTGGTTCTGACATGCTGTCCGGCCCGTTGCTATTCACTCCTCATCTTTAAACTCCATCTGCCCAATCCGCCATTTCACTCTGTCCCCGTTTGAGTGCAGTTATGGCTACCCCTGTGCAATGTCAACATAGTCTTCATTGCGTCTTCATACTGCTAGGCTCCGAATCCCGCGGCGCCTAAACCCTGCAGTGGAGTAACACTGGTGCAGTAGTTACACGAAACCAAGCTCTTTTCCTATGCATGAATGAGTCTGAATGATTTGCATACTGCCAATGACAGAACCAGTGCCAACAAATCGCAAGATATAAGCTTGCACGCACTACAGCAGGCTGACCGAGAAGTCTCACTTGACTCTGTCCAGGCACTCCCACATCATGATGCTGTTTCCTGAGCGGGCAAGATCACTAGCGAAATGTGAACGAATCACCGGCAAGGGGGATCATCTGATGCAAGTCACTTGCATAGATCAATCAACATGCCATTATTTCTGGTGCCTCGAAGATCGTCCGGCACAAGCTGGTGATATCTACAGATAAATCTCAGGAAATGCCACACCGCAACAAACTACCAGATGCGCAAAGATTCCACGAATCACCACCATGCCAATCTCGTTCTTTTCCGTGGGCGAGACGATTTCGACTGTGTTGTCCAACACAATGTTCATGAACTGGTCATATCCTGCATCGTACACGAAACAAAGCATGAGTTTTTTCCATGCGGAAGCTCCGGTCACCATCAAGGCCTCTGAGCACGCCCACCACATGTCTGTTAGCCGTAAGCTTGAGATCCTCGGCATGGCAATTGCAGTCTATCCGTCGTGTCTGGTAGTTGTAGGTACCGAAAGGTAAGGATCCCTGTCCAGTAAAAATGACCAATTTTGCGACGGAGAAAATGCACGAGTAGGAGTCATCTTTCCTACTCCTCATGATTCCTCATGCGGATCATGAGCCTATATGGAATTAAGACAACGTCCCGTAAAGCTTTTTTCAAGAATCATCTATGCTTTAATGGGAGTAGTCCCCGTGCTAGCATCCTGGTCGACCCTGGAGAACAGAATTTCCTTCACCGTTTGAAAGCCAAGAACCTGATGGCCTCTGCAGGTGGTGGCATGCATGTCGTTCAAATACAAGTAGTTGCATCGGTCAAGCTGAGCGTTGGGCCAACCTCTTCTCCATGAACTTTCGCAGATCTGCTCCCGATCCAGTCTCGCAGGGCGGTTTCTGCTACAAATCTGCAAGAAAAGCCATTCTCTTTGGCTCATCCCGACAGGCTTCAATTCGCGCAGGTAGGTTAGGCAGATTCAGTCTATACTTTGTCAAAAAAGGACCCTGAAACTCAAAAAGGGCACATACCGATTTTATCGGCCACCTTGGCTGACCTACAGATTCGTATCTCTCGGGACAGTAGCAGAAACTGCTTGGTTCCTTTGCAGACTTACGCGTCCGCCATTCGTTTCCAGCGGTTCAGACTCCTCGGAAGGTCGTGACATCTACCCGGTTACCCCAATGTAGAAGAAGCTCATAGCTACACCCTAATCCACCGCACATAGGACAAGCACAATTACTGTGCAGGACGCTGTCAAAATGGCCAAAGCTCCTGGCCGACTGCTATGGACTTCTGACGTCCTTCACCCGATTCTGAAGTGCTCCAAGCGGCTTGGTAGACTTTCAAACCGCTGAAGGGACAGGTTCGCTGTATTTCGTTGTTGTACATGCATCACTACGGTCCCGTCATCTCAAGCTCGCTGCAGACGGTGGCAGAGCTGTGCCTTGGACATCTTCCGGTAGCACTTCTGGAGATGCGCCTTCAGGTTGGTCAGTGCAGGCTTCCACACACAGCTCCTTTACTCTTTGCTCGGCCCCGGGTCTCCGGCCTGAGGTGACTGAGTCTCTTCCCGAAGGCGTTGGCAAATCTCGAGCCGAAACGGCCTGTCACAGAACCGGCCCATCCTCCTCGTTTCCAGGCGGCTCACAGACTTTTCTGCAGGGAACTTGCTCCGCATACTTGGGCACCCCGAAACCATCTTTTTTTGCTTTGCGCCAGGGTGCTGCAATCAGCTGCTTCCTGGCCATGATATGAGGGCCCATCCCATCTCGTTTTGCAAAATCGTATCAATCTCATGCCCATGAGTCTTGGTCTGTTGCAAATCCAGGGTGTGACATTAGGATGGGCCTCCAGTCAACGTAGACTGCAGATATAGCATAGCCTTGCTGACCCAGCCTAGGGGACTCTCTGGTGTGATGCTGTCCGTGCCAAATATGTAAACGTTTTCATGGCGAGAATATTGTGGGACGAGAGCTGCGCCGCGCTCTCACTTGACTCGGTCCAGGCACTCCCACATCATGATGCTGTTTCCTTAAAGACGCGATTTTCAAGCTGTGACATCGAGACTTCGTCTCAGCATTGTTGGGCTACAAAAGGACGTTCTTGAAATGAGCGAACTAAATCATAATTGCCTCCATGAGTCCACGAATCACCACCATTCCAATCTCGTTCTTCTCGGTTGGAGAAACAATCTCGACTGTGTTGTCCAGAACAATGTTCATAAACTGGTCATAACCTGCCAAGCATGCCATGCTTAGGTAAATTACGGTGCTGTAGCATGCGTCGCATATGCTGATGCAGCACTGCATGGCATTCTTGGGATCACAAACAAGACCAAGCTGATGTAGATTCGAATCGGATTCGTCACGGCTTAGGATTTGGGTTTAGGGTCCACAAGACTTCAACGGCGTACCTCGCAAAACTCCCACCACATGCCTGTTGGCGGTCAGCTTCAGATCCTGGGCATCGAAGTTCTTTCATGAGTCGTTGGCGAGCATGGGCAATTCTGCACTGCGCACGGAAGCACCTGTCTTTGCATCATCTAGACTGCATGCGGTCAGCAAGGTTCTCGTGCATCTGGACGTTCTAGCGTCTAGAACCTAGACGAGGACTGCAGTGCTGCAGACCCTTGCAAACTCAGCTTCTAAACATTCGGTAGATGTACAGTTCCTTGGGACACACTGTGCACTGTGCGCAGCCCGTGCCAAGCTGACGATTCACGTCCGCGTGCAAGACGCACGTTCCAAGACGTATATGCTGCTGTAACAATAAAGTTCTGAGTCAAGAGCTGCTGGCATTTGCGATTGGCACGGGCTGTCGACTGTCTTTTGTGAATCGAAAAACTGCTGATTGAAACAGTCTCAGGCTTAAACAGCCTATGTTGCCATCAAATGGATCTTGTCCCTGAGCATTGCACAGAGCCTGACAACGTCGTAAGACCCATTCACTCTTGTGAGAGTGTCCTGGAAGCCTTTGGATGAAACGTGCTGTAGGCGTGACAGCAGTTCGCGGATCCAGATTCATGCTCCCCAAACAGTTTCAATCACGCTGTGACCTAAAGGTGTGCCACAGAACTGGCAGAAGCGATGGTCCATCTGCGCTTCCGCACCACAATTTGGGCAGAAGCGCTTCTCCTGTTCACCTTCCTTCTCTGCTCCCTTGGGACCTGGCATGCCGACGTAGAACCCTTGGTCTTGTTTCTGCGGCTCAGGGGCTTCCTTTTTGGTGAGCTGCCGTGCAGCCATATCGATTAGGCTACCCTGGTTCCGCCGTCCACCCCGCTTTCGCTCAGGCTTTGCTCTGGGCATAGATGACTCGCGAAGGAAGACCGGCCTGGTTTCGGCGGGCCCGCGGTTCACTCTGGCGGTGGAGTAGTGGGAATAGTTGGCCTCGAAACCTTGAAGCGCAGCTGGCACCACTGACACGAGCTTCTCTGAGTTGAACTTTCCCATCTTCTGGCCCTCATAGGTAGTTCTTGCCATCCATGCGAAGTCTGGTGAAACAAAGTTGATGAAGGCATAGCCACGGTTTGCATGCGTCTCTGGGTCGATTGGAAGATACATAAAGTCATAGGCTCCTGCAAAGCCTGCCTGATTCAGCTCCTCTAGAAGCATCTGCTGGCTGTACTTGTTTGGCAGATTGCGCAACATTACAGTTGTCACACTCTGCCAGTCAGATGGGATTTGTGCACTCGGAGGCATTTTCGGTGGACTGCCGGTGTCTGTCATCTTCATGTCCTTCGCGGGCCTGCCTTTGCCGCCCATTGCCATGCCAGCCCTGTCCGGCGACCTTGGCACGAAGGGACAGGGAGTTGGCTTTGGGAGAGCCAGGAAGCGTTGCGGCTGGGGCGCACAGCCTGTTGTGAACCGTGGTATCCACTGTCGAGGCCGCCAGATGCGTAAACCTGTGCCGGAGCTAAGATCTGGTACATCGACGTGACATCCGGATGGAGAGCTGCTCGCGCTGTGCAACCCTTCCTGCGCTACATCGCACAGCTGACATCTTCACTGGCCTCCGGCATTTGCATCCCCATCTGTGCCAGCGGGGCCTCCTTTCCAACTCCCACCTTGGCCCGGCAATCTCTGCAGGTGCATTCTGCCTGTGAGGCTGTGGCTGTCACCTGGACCTGACAGCCTGCCGGCACATATGCGTCTGAGTGTGCCGAGATGCAACGGTGTACTGCAGAGGCAGGCCCTGCGGCATTCCAACGCCACTGCACCCATCCATCATGCCCGGTATGCCGGCGGGCATCACCATGTTGCCCACAAAGGGAGCAGTTGTTGCCTTCAGCGAAGCCCGGCGGTTTTTGGGTGTTAGGCATGAATAACCAACGAGCTTGAGTGGTCATTGCTGCTTTGCTGGTAGTGAGCAGAAAGAGCTCTTACTTACGCGTCTCCTGTCCAGTCTGCCCAGTGGCCATCATGTCCGGCATCGACCCAGGCGGAAGGAAGTATTGCCCACCCGGCCACATTTGACCTCAACCGTGCGGCCACAGAGAATGACACGTTGGTCAGCTTCTGCTCCCGGATTCCAGCGTCGAACGTAGTTTAGAACATCTACATCACTGTGCTCCGAGGTTTTGCAAAACGATTGCTGCCATGTTTGTCCTCACCGCTCGCATAAACCTCGACATGAAAGCCCCGCATTGAACCTTTGAGCGCATCTCCGCGGGACCGCACGTCTTAGGAACCCATCCTTGTCCCGCTTCTGAGGTAACGAAGATTCACTCACGCATTTAGGATTTGTGGCTCGCAGAATCCGAAAGTATCCAAAATCACCATAACACTGCAACCCTGTAGCGAAAATGCAGAGCTGGCCCTTATGGAAATAGTTCCAGAATAAAAGTTGAAGTCCCTTTCGCATTGCTCGTCCAAGCAATTTTGAGAGCTGACTGTTATGTACAAATCTTGACCCCGCAAAAAACAAAATTAGCATGCTGCAGCCACACAGTCTCCATGCACTGGTGCTTTCATGCATGATTACATGCCGGGTAGCAGCCGCCCGTTGTAGCATTCGGTGGGTTGGAGCTGTCTTCATCTCCCGTAAGAACTCGCGGTTGCGATGGGAGAGTAGAGGGCACGCCCTGACGAAAATCGACCAGACACAGGAAACACGACAGAAATTGGAAAAGATCGCCGGCGCATGCCGGCACCTTGCTACTAGTGTTACTAGGAATCACTCTCCACGAGAATGGGCCTGCTCGCCAGCTGGGTAGCCGATCTGCGCTTGTGCCAGGGCTTGCACCTGCTGAGCCTTTTGGATTTGCTGCTGGGCTTGCTGGATTTGCTGCGCTTGCTGCTGAACCTGCTGGATCTGCTGCGCCTGCTCTTGCAGGACAGTCATTTGCCGTGCAAGCGCTGATGCCGGCTCTGAGAGCTGTCTCCGAGCAAGATGAGAAATCTCCATCTCCATGTCATCGAGAGAGTCGAAGTCCAAGAACGTATTCTTCACCTGCAAATTTGCAGCCACAGCTGCAAGTGCGCTGGAGTCCACCATGATCACTTGCCTTTTGCACGCACACTAGATGGGGCCGCTACCTGGATCTGCAGATGGCATAAATGCGGATGGCTGTCATCACGCTGCATCATGAAAGCTGCAGGTAGGGTCAATCCAAACAAGAACTGCAAAAGTGCGAGTTAGACAAGTTCACCCAGATGCTACTGCTTCACGGGCTGCAACAAAGACCTTCACAGTCGCCCGCCGAGCTCGTCGCCAAGCGTTTCTCCATAAACTTCCGCAGGTCAGCACCGGAGCCGGTCTGGTGAAGGCAAGACATCCGTCTCCAGGATCTTAATTACTTACTCCGTGTACGGCGTTTGCCTTAAATTCCTTTGCGTCTCATCGTGATTGCCCTGCGGCACTGGGCGGTCGCCTTTGACATCTTCCGGAACCTGGTCTTCTTCGCCTGGCGCCAGCACAGTGGCTACACAACCCGTCAATACTGAAGTGTGTCAGACTCAGAAATGCAATCCACCCGACCCTGCCTTGTCTTGTCGTCGACTGTGTGGCGCAGCTTGAGCAAAAATGAGGCGGAGAAGCGGCAAGTCTTCGCAACTGCCCTCATCTGCTACCGCTACGAGGGTGGCAACCAAATAAGTCGTGACGGCCATGCATCCTACCATGCTGACACAGTACTTCTAAGTAGAAACGACGAAATCATGAGGCTATCTTCATGAAACTATGTACACACCTCTAAGGCCGTGCCGCGCTTGTGGTATTTCCCTGACAGTGTCCCGTGCCTCAGACTCATCCGTTTGCCGCTTTTGGGCTGACCGAACATCGGTCCGCCGATGCTTTCTCTTGGTCTCTTCACCCTGCGCAATCGAACATCAATTTCCGACATGTGTAGATGTACTTTCAGCTCTGCGGGCAACGCCAAACCCTTTACGTTCGACCTCCACCTTGGGCACGCAAAGCTCCAAGGGCGTCTGCAAACACTCGCTTAGCCGCCGCCCGCCTTCGGCACAATGTCCCCCACAAGAAGCGCCTGGCATCGCGACCGGGATCGCTTAATCAATGTTGTCAATTCCAGATTCAGATCGAAGCTTGAGAAGCTTTGCAAGTCCTAAGAATTCCCTGGGTCTCACAAAACGTTCAATCACCTCAAAATCGTGGCAAGGGCACTGCTTTAAGCACTGCTTGCATGCCATTGCCTCACAATGCACTGACAACGTAAAATCACATGCATCGAGAGTCGAGAGTAGTGTTGATTAAGAGTATCGCCACCATAAAGTCGGGCGAGGATCTAGCGGCGAACTTCTGGATGATGTTGGAGTTCAACATGCCTGGTCCCACCTGGGTGAGCATGATGTGAATTTCAATATCTGAGCCGCGCATTCCAGACGTGTCTGTGCTGGTTGTCGTGCCCTCTCTGGGTGTGCGGGGGCCTTTTGAAGCTTGGCCACGGAGAAATGGATCAAAGCTGTCAGCACTGAGGACCAACTGTCGCAAGTTGAACCAAATTTTTAGCTCTTTTTCAAGCGCCGGGCGGGTAAATCAGCTGAGTTCCTACAATCAAGGTCAAGGTCCTTGCAGCACCTCCGAGGCTGAATAGAGCTCTGCAGACAGCACAAAAGAAATGCGCCGAATCGTGGAGCTCAGAGCACATGTATGCCGAGCTCCGACCAGCCTCGCTTACATTTTCTTGCAAGTAAGCTCTGTAGAACTTCTTGCATTCCAGCAATGCACTCAAAAATGCACAAGCTTTTGGTACCGTCACGAGGCACCACTAGCTGTAAAGATACATGACTTTCTGGAAGGAGGCAAGCCTTCCTCTCAGTGGCCTGGCATGCAAACCTTCGAGGCCACAGGTAGAACGAGCTTAAAGTCATCTCATCGGACGCGCATGTGCGGCACGTTCCGTCTGTACATTCTGTGGCCAAGGTGGGGTGAATTCCAGGCATCATTGTTGAATCACCATGCAAAGCGAATTCTATCCAGCCTTGGATCGTCTCTCCATGGGTGCTTTGTTGCGACAAGCCTAATGATTCCCAGTCTCGCGCATACCCATTTGTTACACAGACTACGTGACTGCACTGGCTGTGCGGCTTCAGCAACCACAGCTTGAATAGTTGTGGGCACCTGGCGTCTTCGTTGTCTGTTTCGTCTTTCAAGATATTCGGGGTCGTTCATGGTTGGTGACCGGTGGGTGGGGTGTAATACCGTCCATGTTCAACTCGCTCTCTTGAAAATGCCTTCTCGAGTGCGTCCGGCCACACCCCCACGTGCATGCCTGATAACGTTCATGTTCGAGCGTGTCCCCTCGGGAAACCCCTGTGCCGTAATAACTTCCATGCTCGCGCGGAAAAGCTTCCATCAAAGCACAACAAAAATCATGTCTGAGTGCGAGAAATAAGCACTTTCGGACGGTTTTGCACCCCTGTAAGTTCTGACGGAGCTTTGAGACAATTCGGCTCTTCCTTTCCAGCGCTTCGCTCTTGGGATGGATTGGTCTTGAACCGCAGAGTTTCCAATGCGTTGCAAGTTCCAACACTCGTGCCGTTTGCGTCTTCGAACCTGTTGGGTATCGACGCGCACACTTGCAACAGTTTCTGTGATGTCTGTACTGTCAAGAACACGGGCACGAAAACCGATTGTCGGCACTTCCAGGCCCCTACAGCACCAGGCGCTATGTGCCCATACCCAAATACTGCACGACGAGTCCGGAATGCCCACTGCATGGGAAGCCAAGCTGCGGCCTGCGTCAGCGCGCGGGGACAGTTGCTGGAGTGCTCCGAGGCACATTCACCGCGAGCAGCTCCCGCGCACGAGGGCGACAGTCCTGAGCATGACGATGCGAAGCTACAAGTCTTGTATTTTTTGTCGGTGTTCATTGAAGTGGATGGTCGTGCGTATTCAGTTCTGGTTGAGGGCAACGAGCGACCAGAAATACACCAGGGCGCGAGATTACAGCATTGAAACCATAAGAAAGACTCCACCGGCCTGACATAATTGTCTGCACAAAAATATGCGAGCAAGATGCCTGGAACTTTGCTGGAGTCTGCAGGAGCCTGATCAGCAAGAATATCTTGTGCTGACCTTTGCACAGGTATTCCTTTTGCAAGACTTTCCTGTCTGAGCTCTTTCCTTCTCAGAAAGAGGCAATATCGTTCACCGTGGTTTTGCCAAGATCCCGCATGCAACACTCTGTCATGAATCACATGGCGCTTGAAGGAGTGATTGAACTCGGCATTTCCCTTCTGTGCCATCGGGATGCGGCAGCAGGCCCTCAACTGTCAGCATTTGTTGCTGACCAGCGACTTCCTGCAACATGGCTGAGCTAATTCTGAGATTCTGCACAGCTTTCCTGTCCGTTCCAGCTTTGTGGTGTGGTTCGCATGTTGGCCATGACCTGCCTCGGGCACGCGCAGCTTCACGGGCAGCCCTGCACGCTTTGCCCGGGCAAGGATCTCATGCCTCGACCCGGTTGGACGCCTGTGCCAGGCTTCCAGGAGTCAGCGGGTGGTCTCTCATTCTCTGGGCCTAAGGGTCGCGATCACATGCCATCGCAAGGAACTCTGGCTCCGCACCTTCCAGTGCGAGTCGCATCGGAGCCTTCGCTTGGAGCGGGCAGCCCTGCAGGGCCGAGGAATCCAGCTGAAACCCCTTTTGCACAATAATCTGAAGTAGCACCAGACTCTACAGGATCTTTCTTTTTCCACTTTCCACGAGAAAGCTCTGTATCGCTTCCAACTTCACTCATGAGACCCTCCCCTCATTCTTGGTCTGTGCAGCTGCCTGGAGGTGCTCGCAGAAGTCCAGTGCCGGGTGCAGCGGTGGAAAGGAGCGGTTGTCCTGTCTCTAGACTCCCACCCACATCGGACCGCGCAGGAGCGCGGCAAGGCTCCTTCACATCCTTCTCCAGCAAGTTGTCTCTGCGTTCCTGGCTCACTGGCGGATCAAGGCTTCAGCACTCTTGAATTCAATTGGTTGGCGTTACACCTTTCAGTCTGGGACCTTCTCCTGGCTGCCAGGATGGCGGCGCGGAGGGCGAGGCGCAAGCCTTTTTTTCGGTTCCATTGAGCAAGCTCATGGCTCTGTCTGCAGAGTGCCTCTGATGGCAGGAGTGGCCACTGGGCTGGCGGGGGCGGAGGACGCCTGTCAGTGCGAGAAATTGGTCAACGTTTCTTGCTTTTGAGTTTCGCTGAGCCAGACCTTGCTGTCTTCATGCAATCTGAGGCCAGTTTGAGGCGCATTGCAAGCACTGCAAGCATTTGTATCATTCTTGCAAGATGTTCTACCAGTAGAGTGCCAGTGTCCTGTCTGACCTCTCGGTCGCATCCAGGTTCAGCTTGCTTGTGCACCCCTCATATGGCCTCCTGCAAGCTGTAGGCCGCAGGGCGACCTGGGCTTTGGGCTTGAAAAGCGAAAAAACCTGTGCGGATGGTCTAACATTAGCAGAGCTAATTTGGTGCCTCCTCAGAGCCGCTGGAGCAATTTGTCTCTACATCCGCCTCCTGTCAGATGGAGGCTATACGCAAGCATGTGCCAAGCCGTACTTTGCTCTCAGCCCGGCCTCGTGTAGCTTGGGTTTTCGTGCTTCTTTGAAGTTGCCTACCGGCGTCGACCTCAGTGCTTTTCTTGCCATTCAGCGGGCACGACACTGCTGTTCGCGGCCGGCCGAGATATGAAGACTGGGCACCCGGCGCGAGCAGGCTCGGCAGGAGTGTCTGCTTCATCATCTCTGCTGTGCAACACTTGTCGGTAAGGATGCTTTGGCTTGAGACTTGTATTGCTGCGGCACACAGTGTCAGATTGCTGCTAGAGGTTCAGCATGAATTGTCACGCATTTCTGCGCTCTTCTCTTTGATCATTTTGCTTGCTTACTGCAAGCATCTTTCTTTTTGCGCTCCTGCAAACCACCGTACCATAGGCACACTCACCCCCGAGACTGTTGAGAGAGGGTAGTGTGGAGGGGCTTCTTGCTCTTGCTCGAATCTGTACTACTGCAAGCCACGCTTTGTCCTGCCCAAAGCAAGCAACCGAACTGCTGTAGGTAGTCCCTTGCAGAGCAACGGAACTTCAACGAACCAAACAGAACTGCCACATATCAAGGTCTGCACAGACACCACCGGGTCGTAACCGTGTCTGGCCAACCTGCAGCATTGAGGACTGTTGGCCAACCCGCTACATGGCTAACATGAGCTCAAACCGACAGAGACTGAAGGGCCTGGGCAAAGCCCCACCCCGACAGACACCCTCATCGTGGCAGGCCAGGGCACTTAAGCAGAGACACCCCAACTCTGCGCATGTCAATCTCCTACCCTTGTAATATGTATCGTGAAAGACTAAAACATGGTGAAACTCAAGCGAACTCAGCTCGCGCATGCTCGCGCAGGCTCGCGCCGCTCGCCTGATTGCCAGGCTGGGGCCATCTCCGAAGACCAAGGCGCCGCAGCCCTGACGAACTATGTGCACTGGCTTCCGTGCGAAGTGCGGGAACGCCGCGCTCCAGCCGAGAGATTTCTAAGAACTTGCCTTCTCGGCTTCGGGAAGACCCACTGTCCAGGCTCCTTCGACGCCGAGGGCACCGAGGCGGCGCCGAGAAGTGGCCGCGTGCAGGCCGCAACTGGGCATTGCGGACATCGCGACTGGTGACTTCGACCAAAGCCTGGATCCGCGGGGCGTCAGGCCTGCAAGTTGGCGGCCGGCCAGGCTGCAGCTTCTGGCGCGATCGGCGAGGAAGCGAAATCTCAGATCGCTGGGGCTTGTGACGGCCCGTCTCTACGCTGACTGGAACATGGAAAGATTGCTTCGATCAAGTTTATGTCGTGCCAAACAAATCAAGGCGTGCACCATTGTTGTGCGGTGCTGACTTCTGTCAACTGTCATGTGTGGCTAGCGCTGATCCAAGGGATTAGTTCGCCTAGTTCCGCTCCCACTCTTCATTCATCTTTGTCATCTGGGTTGCTGCCAAGCGACCCAAACAGCATCGTCATCATGGTGTGCCTCCGGGAATGATGGCACATGCGGACTCTCTACAGGTTCATGTGCTGCTAGAAGGACCTTGTCAAAATGTAGTCCGAGCTGAGGTTTCCCTAGGCCCGAAGCATCTTTTCCTCAAAACCAGGGACCGACCGAACCACTGATTTGGTTTCCAACAGCCGAAACAAATTGCCAGAAATGTTGAAAGCGTGTGAAGCAAACTCTTGAGCGGGCGAAGCCTCGCCGGTGCACTGATTAAGTTAGAAATGCGAATACGCTTCCTTCAGGAAAGAAGGCACGACATCAAAATGAGTCACAAGCTTCTCTTCAATTTCGGAGATTGCATATCTGGTGACATGATGAGCAAATCTGTATGCTGTTGGAAATCTTTGGCGGTGTCTTCTTGCACGTGTTCAACATGTTTCCCATGGCTAGCCTCAAATGCGTTTTACAGTTCGGCAACTGCAATTCTCCAAAGAGGCTGCCATAAGACTCGGACCGATCGGTCAATACTGATGCTTGGATATGCTTGGCTCAACTGCAGGCAATGCCCATCGTGGCCTCCAGCTCCAAAGGCTCAGAGCCCTCGACAGCGACAGGCGTGCGGAAGCAGAGGGCAGCCTGGCAAAGCCACACGCCTGGGACCGACTCAGAGACGCCTTGTCGGCGCAGCCTGGCGCCAGTGTTCGCGCAAGGGCTGCCCGGGAGACGTCGAGATTCGGACTGACCCGAAAAGCTCAGCCTCAAACCAAAGCCTCAGTACCGGTGCAGAGTACGGTGCTGTAGCGTGTCGTATCGCCAGCCAACCCAAACTGAGTTGCGCCTAAATCTAAAACTCAGCTACTTGCACCAAATCAGTGCCCACGGTATTCCCTCGCAGACTAGGGACCCTACAAACGAGTCTGCTGTGGATGTCGAGAAAGCTCCATCATGCGTTGTGTTAACTCTCAGTCACTTGCTCTCAGCCGCACTCAATTTGGCTCGTGCCCATCTCTTTTGGGCTGAGTGCACGCCTGCTGTAACTGTAGACCAACCCATTTTCCATAGTTGAGCTGGTGCTAATAGCATGCAAAATTCCTCTCCCTTGCATGAAGCACTTGGTATATTCATCGAGATCTTGCTCCAGACCATTGTCGTACGTGAGGTACTGGCAAGCAACACTCTGAGATTCTATTAATCAGTACGAGCTGATGCTTTGGCTGTAAATCAATCCAGCTGTCTCTACACAAAGCTCGGAACAGAAAAGAGCAACCTCGTCAAGTTCCAGAGGACCCTTGTCAAGTCGGACTCTCTGATGCCTGAGCAAGGCTTAAACATCCGGCCGGCATAGAGGCTCTTCATCAGCTAATGCGCCTTCCCAGCGACCCGCCGCCAGCTCAGTGGCTCTAGCTGCCGGAATGTGGCGCGGGGTGTATGCTTCTCTCATCGCAACATTCAGAGCTGCTTCGAATCGTAAAGAAGCACTGATATATACAGTGCTACAGCAGAGGACACCTGCAGTCAACCTGCTTCAGCCACATAGTGTCCGACTGTCCTACGGAAATAAATCAAAGCTAGGCGACGCAACGCCGTGTGCTTCGCCAGGCATCCTCAGGAGCAAGGAAGCACATAACTCAAATTTCACTGATGCTACTACCTGTAGGAAAACGACAGAGCCCCAAAAGCATCTGAAATGGTGCATCTTGATCTGTAGAGACATCGGTTCACTAGCATCGCCTTCACCTAGACCTATGCTCAATTTCATGTGAGCGACAGCGGCACGTGCAGCGCCACACGCCGGCCACACGAAGGAAGCGCGGTGACCGCAGCAAAGTCGAAGTCAAAGACCTCGTTGCACAAACGACCATGCGGCGCTGAGGCCGCGGCAGAGTAGGACCTCCGTTTCTTCCCAACCCGAGGCCCCAAGCACCCTGAAGGTAGACTCCAAGTTCATGTCATTCCAGAGCCGTTTGAGACGAAGCAGCCCTTCTTGAAGTCTCTCTCAGCCAGTCTGGAGTATCGCTCATGGATCAATGCAAAATTGCGATCGGGACAATCATCGCTGAGCACGTCAGGCGCACTGCGCCAGCTGCAGGTACGGTAGACAGAGCTTGCAGCACAAATGACGGTGGGGGTCACCGGGGCTAACCTTTGGGAATGGGTGGCAGCAGAAGTTACGCTCACATCCGAATGTACTTGACAACAAGATCGTCGCCTCGAACGGCTCCGAGACAAACTCTAGGAGACCTTGTGGGCAGGTATAGACCACATGACACATCATCCGCTAGGCATACTCGTGGAGGCAGGGACATGCAGTGACGTACTGCGGTGCTTGCTGGATCGGCATTGACACGTTTCGATGCCAATCCGGCATGCTCCCCGTGCTTGTGCATTCTGCAAACGAAAAACTGAGTCTTCGATGGCCTAGGCTTTTGCCCTGAGCAGCCTCGCCAAGCAAGCAGCTTCACGTTTTCGCCATTCACGCCACCTAGCTGCCACTAACCTGAACAGAAGTGCTCTGTGGCTTGAAACCACAGATGCTACCTAATCCTACCCTGGAAGTTTGTTCTGCTGCCAGCAGTCGTCTGCTTGTTGCAGCGAATTGCAGCGACACGATTCTCAGTCATGCTCGACCTTCTGTACATCCGTGGGAAATCCGTCCCGCTGCTGCGCCACGATTCCTGTCAGAGTCGGGCAGGGGCACCGTTAGTGGTGCAGTTGACGAGACTAGAACCAAGTCACCTTGAGCTGACTGCTGGAACCCGCGAACTCTGCGAATACTCGAGAAGAGGCCGCGTGCAGGGACATTACAAATGAGAAATCTCAGCCCGAACCTTAAACCCAAACCTGCAACCCGAAGCTTACAGCGTTTAGAGTTCGGTTTGGAAACTTCCCGATTCTCACCCAACCCTGCAACCTGATGTCATGGATTTTCGTGGCTTTTGCACCTGGCCTGGCCAGAGGAAGTAGCCCCTGGGATGCATCGTGTGATCTGCGTGCCCCGGTTTCGGAGGCTTCAAGCCTGCCGAAATCACGGAAGCAATTCTTCTGCACACGTCTTGACTGCGAGTATTGAACTAGTGGATGGCCTTCACGCAGAGACTCGTCATTCATGTGGGTGTCGATCTGCCAGTACAGCGGCACGCTTACCTTGATGCACACGAAGAGCCCGATGATCTGAGGAACGCCGGCACAAGATATGTGCCGTAACCTGAGACTCTGACTTCTAGGCATGCCTTGGCCCCGGCGTCGTTGATGACATATGCCGTAGTCTCCTGAGCAGCCGCGCAGATGAGTCGAGCTTGCAACTCGCGCGTCCCTTGTTAAGGCATTCATTTGGTCTCAAGCAGGTCTTCGTTCGGGTGCAGTGCGCGGTGCGCTAAAATTTCCGCCAGCACGACATATGGAACCCTTCATCGGAATAGATACCTGCACGTTTATGGATCGTCTTGTCAGTCCAGGCTCACGAAAGCCTTTGTAGAGCCGCCGCACACCTTTGCCCACCTCGTAGAGGTGCTGCCTGCCAGGTTGGGGTACACTGATGCACACTGCATGCCTCTGAGCGGATTGTTGAAGGCCTGCGCAGAAGATCCTGGCCACCGAGATAGACGATCTCCCAATCCTTCGAAATTTCTCTGCAGCCAGCGGCAGAGTCAACAGCTGTCAAGAGCACGCCTGCGGCACGTGCGACAGACGCTCAAGGAGCACTTCCTCCGAGAAGCCCTGCGCAAACTCGCAGTCATCCTGGCAGTCGTCGCTTTGCACCGTGCTCACCGCGATACGAGCAACTGCACAAGCCGTCCTCAATAACCAGGAAGGGTGCTCGCGGATCCACGCCATCTGCAAGAGCATGACTTCCCGTGAGCTTGAAACCCGGTCGCTCCAAACCCTGTACCAGCAGGTGTGCGAACGGCTCCACGCAAGGGTCCGCCTTCCGCACATTTCTGGATGATGTCTCGCCAAATGAGCCTCACAGCGATAAAGCTATCTTTTTCTGGACAGGTAGCAGCAGGAAGCCTTCACACGACTGTCCCCGCGGTTGCAACCCATTCATCAGGGCTCCACCTTAAGAATGCACCACAACATTCCCTTTGCCTAGCTGCTCGCCAAGAGGCATGTGTGACAATGCACAGCCTATGCCGCCTGCAGTGAGATCCGTGCCAAAGAGCTTCCTCGGGTTCAGCTTTGCAAATTCACACCCGGTTCGGCCACCCATCAAATTCACAAGTTTTTCGTCCGGATCAGGAATCCAGCGGGCTTTCCGAAGCATCTCGCTGCTAGCCTTCCCGGGATTGAACGTCCGCAAGTACGTGTCTCCTGCTTGCTCAATCCGTGTGGGCAAAACTTAAGATCACTTCCTGCAGCATCCTTGGTCAAAGCTCGTTGTTCAGGTGACAATCCAGACTGTTGATACTCCGAGAGACTTGTCCGCGGATGTTATTGAAACTGTCAGATAAAGAATACCTAGCTAGCTGAATCTAGCTCAGGATACCTTAGCTTCCGGCATGTTGCAAGCTTTGCTGCTTAAGCCTCGAGTTCGAACATTCGGATAACGCTTGCTTCTTTCTACCTTTGTATAAGGTTGTGTTTCATGCTGTATTCCTTGCTTGAGAACATGTTGTCCGTGTTGCCTGTACTCAGCCAGGCCTTCCCAGTCTTTCCTGGCTCAATTCAACGCAAACTGTGATGCCCGCTTTTGTCTTGGAAGCTATACGATGCTGTGTGGTTGATCGCTGCTATTGGTAAGGCTTGTTCATGACGAGGGCTTTCTGACCCATGTTAAAAAGTGTCCTGCGACGGTAGATGCGTCCGATGTTCAGAAACAAAAGAAGCCGGAGGACTGGCCTAGTGACGAAAGCTGCGACATGCTGCGACACTTTCGACGAAGCTCTGCTCGTCTGGCAGGTAGTAGCGGGGCAACGCCTCCATTGCAATAACACCATTCCTGAGGCAGATGCTAGCAATGCGCTTACAGTGCAGTTGGAAACGAGCTTCGGGCGTATAGTCCGTTGCAAGACGACAGAAAGATTTTGGGACAGTTGCATCGTAGGCTCATGGCTAGATCAGGGACGTCCAGGTCACGGCCATTGACTGCACTGAAGCCTCAGCAGACTTGAGGATATACTGCGTCCACCAAATAACCTCCTAGCTACTAGTTCAACAGAACTCAAGGTTTACACATTTCAGATTGTCTCATGTCAAGAGACGCTCCACAGGCATCCTTAATTTCTGGAACTGCTTCTGCATGAACTCCCAGCGCTCGGGACGGTGTTCCAAATTCCTTAGACAGAGGAACTCGCACTGCCAACTATGGACAACCTAGTGAACCTAGTAGACGAACGGAGAAATGGTGTATATTGCCCCCCTTGAAATCTCACAGAACTCTTGGGCCAAGGCTCATGCAGTAAATGTGCGCTAGGCTCCGCCATCCAATGGCCTCGCTGGGCCGCACAGCCGTGGCAGTGGATAGCGCGGCAAGGCGACTCCTTACCGGTTGCACAATTTGGCGGCATCAGGTTTGACGACTGCAGGTTTACCTACCCATATGTCACTTGCTCTCCTCGCTCTTCGTGGCCGCTGCGCCAAGCTTGTCAGCCGCCGCACCGTAAAGGCACGCTTCGGGTGGTGGCCTTCGACTGTGATCACACTCTCGCACATGGAGAAACGCGTCTGCTCCACAGAAGCTATGGGATCTTGCCCGTAAAAACCACTGAGGGTCGAATTGGCTAAGCCAAGCTGCGCGCAAAGAGCGCGGCACCTCGATTACAGTCGAAGGTACGTGCTTAGCAATGCATGAGAATTCCGGGCAGATTTACCATGACAGAAGAGGTGCATGCCATCAACATGGATAGACGAAGGACTGCAGAAGGATGTCACTTTCAAAGCTCCAAACGCTTGACACGGTCTGGGGCCAGCACAGGTGTGGCAATTCACAGAAATGGCATCTCAAGTTCAAAGACCAAAAGCCCGAAGAGCAGGAGAGTGCAAAGAGAGGCGATTGTCGTCGCTTCCGGCGCTACAGGTAGAAGCAAGGGTCTAGGCGGTATAGGCGGCAAGAGCACGACGAGGCTGCTTTATTCACATGCGGGTACTCCCATTCACTATTGTTGATGTCGCGCAGACCGACTGTGTAAGGACGCAGGGCCACCGTTGGCACGACGCATGGAAAACACAATCTTGAATCAAGCTGCCTAGGCAGCTGACCAGTGCTGCCGTCCGGCAGCTCAGCTGTGAGGCTATCCTGCCTCAGAACGATCCAGACCGGAAATCGCAGCTTCATAGAATGCAGAAACAGAACTCACATCCTGAGGAGTGATGTGAATCTCGAAGCTGGAACCACAGAAACCACAAGCCATGCCACTCGCACGCTGCATGTCAGCTGGACCAGGATTCGTTTTCAGCGGTGGCCGTGCCTCAAGCGATCGCAGCACCGAGATGCAATTGGGCACTCTGGAATTTCTGCAGGGTGTGCAGAATCCTTCATTCTAGGCACGATAGCATGAGAGAGCCCAGCACGTCAATCAGAAGGCAAACCACCCCATCTGGTACTAGTACAAGTCTGGTCCGATTCCAAGCGGCCGAACGCGATGGATCGGGCCGTCCGCTTGCGGCCAACATAGCAAAATCTCTCTGGGAAATCTTCTCTTTAGTGCTGTTGTCCGTGGTAGCTTGTGGTAACTAGCTCTGCTCTTCGGATGGCTAGGCTAACGGTACTCCGCGGATGGCCTTTAGCTGGCACGCCACCACGTCGGCCTAGCGCCTAAAAGTCTTTCTTTCCTGCACCAAGGCCGAAGCATCTCTCTTTTCTTTCTTTCGGAAGAAGCATCTCTCTCTTGCTCTCTCTCTGTCAACCTCTGGCTGTTTGGGTTGTCTGGCTTCACTGTACCAGTTTTCCAAGTTTCGCCTGCCAGTCTATGCTTGTGCACATGCGAACGGCCTTCTGGTCAGCTAGGGCAGCCACCATGCAAGTTCAACACAGATCACAAACGAATCGGGCAGTCGTAGACCAGCAAGGTGTCCGAGTTTATGATTCCGACTGCTGTGCCGGGCACTTTCCTGGCGCTCCCGGCCTGTTTCAAGGAATGGCGCCAGGTGAATATGTTCAGCTGCATGAAGCCCGGGACAACGGACCACATCCTGCGCAGTGCTTCTGGCCCGGGCGCCTTTCACCGACTCTCGTCTCTCCGGGTTTCTGGAATGCATAAAAACTGCGGGTGCCAGTGCTATGGTACTAGTAGAAAACACAACCATTCAGTGCACAAAGTGAGGGGCTGCGTGGGCATTCCGTTGCCGGGACCGAACCTCTGGCAAGCTCACGAAGCTTGAATCTTGAAAAGCACCACGGTGCCGCTCCTGAGCGAAGCGTGCTTAGCTCTCAAGTCGAAAGAACTCAGTAACTCAGCGGCACAACAGACTTCAGCCATAGCCGAGGAGCCCAGAGTGCCTTCGACCGGAAGACTCGACCAAAGACTTGGGCGCGGCGTGGGATCAGCTCAGGGCCTGGTGAAGCAGCACAGTTAGAGAGTAGTGAAGAATTACAAAAATCATGACTTCACTTGATCTGGTGATCAAAAGGCTAGTGAAGATTGCAGATCAGTTTGAAGGCCTGGATTGAAGCTTCGTGAAGCTGCAGCATGTCGCAGCGTCGGCAGCACGCCTTCGCCAATCAGAACCTGATCTTCTTTGACTGCCGACTCGGAGCTGCGCACAGAGACACAGCATCATCCGGACTTACTCAACCGCTAACTCTTGCGTGCCAAAACTGACCGGTGCAGTCCCAGACTTGTGCTAGAGGTACTAGCTAATGAAAAGCGACTTGGTGAGTCTTGATTCAGCTGAGAATAAGTTGGCAAGGCGGCTGCGTCCAGGAGTTCGGAAACACAGAGATCAAAAGATGTGTCCTCTCACTGGCAAGCACTTGCTGCTCGTTGTCTCCGCGATTCGACATGAGATGCTACGATGTGGGCATGCAACGAGAGTGTTAACATGACACATGAGTCAGGAGAGTGTCAATAATGCAAACCAATGCAAGCACCTGCTGCCCTTCGTCTGCCCACAGCTTCCAAGTTGAGACAGGCCGCCACTTTACTAAGGTGACTACGGACTGACTTAGAAACTTCAGAAGCCGTCCTTGGCCTTCTCGTCGTGGAGAAGTTCGAAAGAGTGGCCCTCCCAAACCGAGCAGCATCGCTCCTTGCTGGCGGGCTATACATGCAGATCACGAGTGACCGGATTACCAAAAAGGAAACCAGATAAGTACTTCCGGTTATGTCCGAGGAAATGGCCATGAAGATACAATCTTGAGAAGCAAGCCTTCGTTGAAGCACGACTGCCAAAGCACGGCCTTAGCATTCCTCTAAAGATCCCCCCCGACCCTTCATCACACATGACCCATGTTCGCCTGCAAGTTTCTGCGCCATTTCTCCTGATGTTCTCACGTGCCGCTTCAGCTAGCGGGGGACATGCTTCGATGAAGACCACTTCTTCGAACAGTCCTCGCTCGGCAGGGGATCAGGCTGGAGCTTGACTCAAGTCCTCAATCTTCTAATCTTCGACTAGCTGATGTTGCTGGGAATTCGGAGTCAGACCGGGTCACACAACGAGGATCCACAAAGACTTAAGGGCCAAGTTTGCAGGGACTTTCAACTATGAGTGAATTCTACAGGACAAGTCATACTGGAAAGCTGCAGGAGTAAAATGCAAGCTGACGTAAGTGCTTCCTGCACGAACTCGAACTGAAGGGTTTAGACTTTGGGGCAATCCCTACGCTGGCTGTTTCGCGAAGCAGTTGTGGAGCCGCTTATAAGTTAATCCAGGCTCCTGTTTGCCAGCAGAGCAAGCCCAGCAATCCGGAGCCACTTCCTTCCGAGACGACAATCCGGTATCAAAGCTTAAGCAGGTCACAGCCGTAATGAGACATGTCAGCATGCACATCCGAGTCCTCAAAACAAAACCTGAAGCGTGTCGTCACAAGTATTAACAAGTCCGCACTGCGGCTGCTGCCATCAGCACGGTCTGTCAAGGCCTTCCTACTCTTACAACTGAAGAACGGGTTCCGACAAACCTCCCGAGTCGCGGCCTAAGTCAAGAGCTCTTAGAGCTTGCGATGGCTTTGCTCGCCTCCATTTGCAGCAGAGATGCAATTACAACTCTGCAGTGTGCTCAGAAGCTGCACAGCAAACTCGGATTACAAACGTGTCCGGGCTGACCTCAGCTCCTCCGCCGCGCTTCGTATAGCAGCAGCATAGGCCTCTCGCCCAAGGTGTGTCAAAAAGGTTGGGCCCAGCATCAACTTTCATCAGTCAGGGCGGCGTTTTGGAGAGATTTGCGAGTGCCTCTCAAGCTCATCTATGCAGTCGTGCCGCTCGGTTGCGGTCATCATCGAAAAGCATGTCGAAATGACCGAGGAAACCATCCAGACTCGCCATGGCTGTGAGCACCGAAGTAGTAGCTAGCACTCACAAGGCTTGTTTCGTCTTCGTACTAGTAACCTAGTACGTAGCAACCCCACCCAGGCTTCGCCCCATCTGCGACCAACATACGAGGTAATCTCAATTGCCTTTAGTCTCGGGGCACTGCTGTGCCAAAATAACACAGATTTTCCCGGAAACTTCTGCAAGGCTACACCAATTGAGAGATGAAGTGAACCTACGATGCACGCTTGCTCATTGGAAGCAGCATTGCAGCTTGCTTGCAGTGCGCTCACAGACCTTTCTCTCGCAACCTGCGAAGTCTTCCCAGTACGAAGAGCCGTAGTCAACGATCAGCTCCGTGCCTGAAGATAACCGCTGCAGGAACGACATGTCCCAACCTTAAGTCTCTCGTGATGCCTCTCGTGGCAAGAAACGGCTTCCTATTTCCGTCTGCGTCATTGAAGAGCCATGAGTTTGCTGCAAGCTTCCACTCGGATGGGCCTGCAGAGACAGGTCGTAGAGTGCGAAAATATGCGACTCGTCCGAGCTCGCAAATTTCGAGATTCACATCCTGAAAGCAGCAGAAGCTTCGACTCACGCCGTAGTTTATGCATGCCAGGCTGGGAAAGTTGGTCGACTCTATATGTTTCGCTCGTTCGGTGTTTTGCAACCGGGTCTCGTCACACTGGTTTGCCATGCGGGCAGCGTTCACAAATCTCGCGGGATTTCCGCCTGGCTCACATAGGCAGGAATTTGAAGAAGGTTGTGCTCTCACACTGTATTTAAGGTTGCTTCTCTCTGCATTGCAAAGCAGGCGGGCCGAGGGACGCTGGAGGCGTTGCCCGTCCACGCAGAAGCTCGGAAGCCAGGGCTCTCCCTCCAGTTTCCGATCTCTGGGACACCAAACCTTTGCAGCATTTTCTTCGCAGCGAATCACACGCATCTCCGCTGTCAGAAGTGCACGCCATGCGTCGTAGTTGTCAACCTCTCGGGAGTACTCCACCCGATCCAGGTCTGCAAACAGCAAAGAAAGCCCCTGATACGGTGGCCTCGGTGACAAAATCTCTGCATGCAACTGACACTGCATAAATGCATAAATGTAACATAGTACTCAGCGTGGTGTGCCAAGTACCTTCAACCCACCTGCCAATTGCCGAGGCACAGCACCACGCCCGCTGCAATGGCTTCAGCGGCAAAGAGGCCTTGCTCAAACTTCGAAAAGGTGATAACACTGCTGCTCAGGCACAAGTCACAAGGCACAAGTAGCTGCTCCATGCTTGAATGCGGGCTGTTCTTCCGGGTCATCTTGATGACGTGCAGCTCCGAATCTCGAAGATCACAAGGCTCGGTGCGAGCGACCCGGGTACGTGCATCCCAACTTGTTGTGCGTGCATGATGGAGCCCCTACAGCACTTATCACCGTTGAGCCCGAGTCATGCACACTCAGCAGCGCGTTACAATGGCTTTTCGCTGCCATACGGTGGCGAGCTTCAAGATCGCTCCCATGTCGAACCGCTGCTCTCTAACTTTGAAATACTATAAAAATGCCCGAGCCCGCGCATGCGCCGAGCACGTTGCCCCTTTGCAACTAGGTGCTCGTGGTCTTGTCGGCTATGAGTCGCTGTCAGCGAGATGCGCACGGAGCTGAATACCTGGCCTTGGCCGGCGCCAGGCAGCGTGGAGTTGCGCACGGCCAGTTGGGCCTCCTTCCGCTTCGACTCTTTGCTCCCCAAGGGCCAACTTGGGGTTCGGCTCTTCTTCACACAGCTTGAGGAAGGGCGTGAGGCATTCTGGCATCTGTCTCTTGCTTGCTTGCTGAGGTCTTAAGGGTCGCCTCTGTAAAGGTTCCCCCTGCGCCTCTATCTTTCTCTCTTTCTCTCCCACACTGTCACAAGCCTTGTCTCTCTGCATGTAATTTTAAGGAACCCGCCCCTGCCTTTTCTCCCATCTCTCTCTCTCTCTCTCACTCTCTCTCTCTCTCTTTTTGTCAGCCAAGGCTTTCGGGTCCAGGGGGCGCCAGGCTGGGAAGTCGCCTCTCGGCCACTTCAAACTGGCGGAGAGCAGAACTTCGCCTTGCGAGGCGTGGGCATGGCCTTCAGAGGCCTGTTGTCCCGACTCAAATGTAGGAGCTTGAGCGAGGCTCACCCGGTAGCGAGAGCGCGTTGCGACCATGACAACAAAAAAGAATCCACGCCATAACAAGAGAGATTGGTTTTACCACGACAGCGCATGAAAGCCTCAGCACGACAAGGCAGCAGCAGCAGCAGCAGCAGCAGCAGCAGCACAGATCAGCATCAGCAGCAAATATCAGCATCAGTGTCAGTGAGTTCCATTCGAAAAACATGCAGGTTGCTGCTACGCAACCGGACGATGAGGCTGTTGACCCCAGCCAAAACCAGGCCGTACCGGAGGCTCCTATCAGAATCTTCCGTGGACGTTGTTGCAAAGTGATTGGGTCAGGAGAAGTTGCAGAACACATGTCCTTTCTGAGTTTGTGCCTCATTCAGGGGTCACCAACAACTATAGTGTCGGCATCGTTGACATGAAGCCCGGCCCGTGAAAACAACGACCAGGCACAACTTCACAGCACATGATTTTTTGAAGTATGTTCTTGTTCGTATGTGCATGCAGCCCAAATAGGCCACAGGAGTCGCATCATGGCCACGCCGACTTGCAGTCTCCACACGTTCCGCCTTTGCTCCCTCATGCTCCTTGTCATAGCAAGGTGTTCACGCCCTCCCCAAACACGCGAGGGAAACTTTGGCAGATTTGAGCTTAAAAGCGCCAAAACAGTGATTCCAGCGCGCTGACCTATTTCCCCACACACTGCTAGGGTTGAACCCAAGCCCTTGTCAGTGTAAGAAGCAAGCTTGTCGTTGTGGTTGGAAAGCTTGTCAGTGTGTGCACTTACTATAGACCCTGTCGCGGTAAGGACTTACTCTAACTCGGTAGCGAATTTTATCCGCGATTTCTGCGCCACCCCTATTTTCACGGAAATTCGTCCGGCAATAGGCCTACTGAGTGTTGTTGCTCTCCCTCCGCAACGACGGCAAGTTGTCCGGCTGGAATATGTTGGGAAACGGGGTCCTGAAATCATCAGGTGGCTGTACTGTCTGAGCCATTTGACGACGACTACGGCTAAGACTAGGACTACGACTGCTGCTGCTGCTACTGCTGCTGCTGCTACTACTATTACTACTACTACTACTACTACCACCACCACCACAACCACCACCACCCCTCCTACTACCGCTACCGCTACGTCTACCGCTGCCGCTACTCCTCCTCATTTTCCTACTCCTCCTACTGCTGCTGCTCCTACGCCTACTCCTGCTCCT